ACATCGGTCCTATCAAATTAGGTCACTATCTCCATTCTGGCCGCCCTGACAACTCGTGTCTGTCTGCTTTTCCCCTCTGCTGTGCTACTTGCTCTGTCCAGACACCTCCGATGACGGCTCGCCAGTCGCCTCATGGGCTGATCGGCCCAGGGACTCGTTCGAGTCGTCCCGTCAGGCCCGATTGTGCAGGCTCCACGGTCAGACCAGCAGTAGCGACCTCGAGTCCGGCTTTCTGCACAGCCTTGCCGGCCTCTTCTCGACGCCCGAGTTGGCCAGACGCACCCTCCTCGGCTCGTTGCTCTCGTTCGCCTCCAACTTTCCTCAGTTCGGCGTCCTCCTCCACGCCGGTGTCGTCAACGCTCCGACCAAGTCGAGTCCCGACGCGGCGGCGACGGCGACGGCAGACGGCAATCAAGTGTACCGATTGACTCTGTTCAACTCACTCGCCTCGCTCATGGCCGCCCTCGCCTCCCTCTTCATGTACCGAGTCTTTCAGGCCAGACGTCCACCTCTGCTCCTCCTCCTCGCCGGCACCCTCTTGGCCACGCTGGCCGCCGGTCTCGTCATTCTGCTGGCCGGGCCCAGACTGCCACGCCAGGTCGACATGTTCGCGGTGCTCACGGCCACCTCGTCACTGGCAATCGCCTGTCTCGACGCCGTCACAGATCTCGAAATGGTCTATCTGGCCGAGTTGTTTCCAACGCGACATCGATCAATTGGATTCGGCGTCTGTCTGGCCGCCATGCAGCTTGGCTCAATGTCTGCCGCCCTCATGAATCGTCGGCCCGATTTCACCCTCCTCCGACATGTGGCCACGGGTCGACTGGTGCAGGTTGCGTCACAGCGTCACGAGGCGACAACGCCGCGTCTGGCCGGACAGACGGACGGACAAATGGCGATACCGTTGCTTGTCTATGCGGCATCTGCTGGACTCGGATTAGTCGTCTGTCTTTTTCTGCCGGACACGCATGGAGTCGGTCTGGACGACTCGATCGGCATGACATCTTCCAGTGGAACTGCAACTTTTGGGATGGTCGACCGAACCCGGGGGCATAAATGAGGGTGCAGGGATGCTGAAAAAACTGTCAACACGGTGAAAATGCTGACAGCCGCTAAAACATGTGAAATGATAATTATTAATTAGGCCATACTGGTTAGGCTAACTTCTATTTATATCTTCGTCTTATTTTCACCTTTGGCCTTATTACTTCCATCTCGAGTGAAAGTGTTTGGTGAAGAAATTCGAAGGTCAGCGCGAAGTCCTCTTGACCAAATGCCGATTGGCTGTACTAAAACATTATTAATGACTTCGTTTCGATTTCGGCGTCAACAAGAATGTTTCAATAAACCCAATCGACAGATTGTCAAGAGGAATCTGCTGCAGTCTTCTGATAAGATCCATCTTCGAAATACTTTACTAATATTCGTATTAGAGTAGGGTTTCGAGACTACCAGTAAATCAGTGTAATGAGATGTATTCACCCTA